AAACTCCAGGGCCGCCTGTTGGTGGAGGCCAGGGACCCCCCCCAACCCACCGCGAGCTCTGCCTGTGCTGCTGCTGCGGGGTTTCCCAACCCTGCGCAGGTGGACCTGACCTTCTTAACGAGCTGGAGCCTTCAGAGGAAAGGGAGCCTGGTCCTGTCCTCCAGGAGATGACGGTGATGACTGTCCCGCCATGCACAGATGTTCCTCATTTAATGACCTACTGGTTTTAAGGACTGTCTGGACTTACACGTAGGACACAGGATGGTGGCTTCTTCAACAGTGCAGGACAGGACTTTTGCTGATTATACTCTGCAGTACCCTGCTGTAGTTTGCTGTCCTGTTGTAGACAGAGCTTTGCAAACAGAAGCAAAGTCATCAAGTCGGGGTTTCTCTGACCAGTTCTGTTTTGAACACTGTCATGTGCATGCCATAGACAAACCCTGGTTCAGAGATCAAGTCATTCACCAGGCCCATGGCAGGAAGGGCTCCCGGTCATCAAATGATTTGTGTTCCTGCGACCCATATTCAGATTTAGAACAGAGAAACGTGAGGGCAGTGCGGCCCTAGGTGGCTTCCTCAACAGTGGGTATTGTAACTCTGGCTGCTTGCACTGGGTAGTGTGACTACATGTAAGAGTGACGCAGGCAGAGGCCAGGTCAGCAGGCCGGAGTCTCTTCTGACCGTTTCTTTGTGCTGAGCCTTGTAACATACATACGACAGACAGCTCCTCATTTAGCGAGCGACCTGTTCATTTAATAAACACAACCCGCGGTTAAACGAGAAATGTCCACAACTCCTACCAGCAGCTTCTGAGGAAGAGGAGCCTGTAGTGTTCCTGACAGCCCACAGCACAACGAAGAGGTTTCTGATTTTAAAAAAAAGATGTCAATAGGACCAGGTCAAAAACCCTGCAGGAAAACCTCAAAGAGCTCACACATTTTAAAGATCTAAATATTTTTTTTTATTTAAAGAGAAAAACAAAACTAAACGAAGCAAGACAGTAAAAGGCTAGAAGCAACACAGAATTTCAAGAGAAAAAACATACAGTAAGAGTTCACCAGTTAATAAATCACACATTGTCATCTTACAAACAGCTGTCCAGATTACAAAATTAAAGCATACAAAGTGGCGATTAATACAGTGAGATTGCAGTCAGTTCTGTTCAATGATCCAAGAAAAACTCAGCAATATGGTTCTCTTTCCTACACATGTAAATAAACTTGCAGTTATATCCTTGAGATATAACTCTTCCTCTCTTTTTTACACTAACAATCACGCATTTTAGTTTCCATTACTTCCACAGTTTTTTTTTTTAACTTTTTCTTTGAAGAGGAAAAGAAAAAAGATTGAAAAAAAGGCCAAAAAACAAAACCAAAACAAGACGGACCAAAGAAAAACCCAATGTGACAAAACAAAACAGAGTCATTTAGATCAGGAGGATGGACATAGCATAAAATGAAAAAAAAAAAAAAGGGGGGGGGATTACTAGATGATCAGCAATGGTTACCATTATGCCTCTTGTTATCCTAAAAAGAGTAGCCTATATCAGCTAGTATAAAAGAATTGAACAAAACTGTACATAAGACCAATAAAACCACATTTTAAAAGTATCTTAGACACTCCCATTGCAAAGTGATTATAGAATTGGAAGTTTTAAAGGATAACCTTTAGTCTGTAGTGAGCCCAGGTTACAATTAAAAAATGTTTCTTTATAATAAAAAAGAAAAACACCTACTGTCCGAATTTTTTTTTTTTTTTTTTTTTTTTTTGGTGTATTTTCCTTTTTATCGGTACCGGCGATTGAACTCACGACTGTCTGCTTGCAAGGCAGGTGCTTATGCCACTGAGCTAAATCCCCAGCCCCACTACTGTCCGAATTCTTTGGACATCCACAAATCCCAGATCCACGGATCTTGGAGGTCTGGAAATTTTGGCACGATGCAGGCAAAGCAGAATGCATTGCCTAAGCTTTGTGGGAAGAATTTGTGATCTGTCTTCTGTGGGGTGAGTGCGGGACGTCCCCCCTCCATAGCTCATGATCCCTTGCTGCCTTTGGGGGGCTCATTTTGGTCCCAATTCAGCAATTTGTGAAGTTTTTAGTAACATTTGCATCTTTTTTATCAGTCTATGTTTTTAGTGCACAATGAGCACATCCACCCTGGGGCGCTGGGGCAGGTACAGCATGCACCCCGTGTCCTCCTCACCCCAGTCCTCTCCACACCCTCTCTCCTCACTCCACTTCCCGTTTCCCTTCTTAGAGAAGAGCTCTCTCCCTGCTTCCTCTTGCCTGTCTCTGTTTTTACTCAGGTTTCTCATGTAGAAGAAGCTGTGCACATGGAAGCTGTGTGTCTGGTTTACTTCATTTTATGGTCTCAAGGTGCAGCCACTTTACTACCATTGACTAAATTTACCCTTCTTTATGGCTGTATAGTACTCCATTCCGTGTAAATACCACTTTTCCTTTATCATTCATCTGTTGAGGGACATAGAAGCCTCCTCCAAGATTTAGATTTTAGAGCTGTGCTGCTATAAACACGGGTATGTGTGTATGACTGTAATACACTGTCTTAAGCTCTTTGGGGAAGGAATTTGTTTGTTCCGAAAATTGCAGTGCCTGTCATCCTTGCTGTGGGCAGTTCCTAAAACAGTCATTTCCCATCTTGGCAACATTTCAGTATCACCGTGAGGGTTTGCAGGAATATATCAAATCAGTGTCTGGGGCTGGAACCGTGTCGCGGAAGGGCTCCAAAGCCCCGCAGGGATGCTGACGCTTGTACACTGGGCGCACAGTGGCGGAGGAGGGCAAGACAGCAGCGCAAAGGAGGCGGTGGGTCAGGCCAGGGAGGCTGAGAGCCGGCGTGCGCAGGAGGAGCGCCAGCGCCAGCGGGGAGGGGCTGCCGGGGTTCCGCTCAGTGCGCTCTCCCACAGCGGCCTCCGCACCAGCACGGCAGGGACCAGGAGCAGGTTTAGGCAGGGACCGAGGTCCACCCTCCCTTCGGTGCTGCATCCTCCCAACAGGAAGGTCATCTCCCGAGCCACCAAGGTTCCCGGACTCGGGCGCGCCTGCCTGTTTTCCCGCGTGGCAGCCAGAAAGAGGAGAGGGCAGCGCCCACTGTGCAGCGGGCCATGAAGAAGCGAAGGAAGCCGGGTGACACATGCTGTAATCCCAGCCCTAGGGAGGCTGAGGCAGGAGGATTCTTACAAATTTGGGACCAGCCTGGGCTACAAAGGGAGCTGAAGGCCAGTCTGAACTGTATAGGGAAACCTTGTCTCAAACAAAACAAAACAAAGCAAAACACACAAAACCAAACAGACAGAAAAAGAAAGAAACGAAGTGATCACAGTCGCTAGTGACCAGGTCAAGGGGATAGGGAAGGCAAACTCCTCTTTTCCCTTACGCGCTGATGTCAGTGCATCCCTCAGCAGACCCACAGCTGTGTCAGGGCGATTCCTCGGCTGCTTCGAGTTGGGTGTCATGCACAGTCCTGCCATCGCAGCACTCTGCAGGCCGAGGCAGGAGGATCACAAGTTGAAACCCAGGCCGGACCATTTAAAACCTTAGTGAGACCTTTCCTCAAAATAAAAGCAAAACAAAAAAATGTAAAAAGGGCTGGGGTTGGAGCTTAGTGTGAAGCTCCTGGGTTCAGTGCCCACTACTGCAGGAGGAAAAGAAAAGACGCCTGCTGAAGTGAAGCCTTTTCCTGTCTCCGCTTACATGTCGGGCACGTGGGCCTCCTGGGTTACCGCGGTGGTCAGTCCCTCCTGCTCAACAGATCCCGGGCTGCTGGGCAAGGCAAACAGAATAAACTAAAAGTCGCATCCTTTATATGCAGCCCCGCCTAGCACAGTCTGTGACACACTGAAGATATTTAGAAACGATTTCTGAATGAACCCAATAGCTTAGTATTATAATCAGGGCTAAAAGTATTAGAGGGCAGTAGCTTTAAGTTTCATAAACCAGAAAACTGAGTCAGAGTGTAGGTGAGGGGCTGATGACTGAAGACGATGTCACTTGCTATTTCTAGCTCAGTCTGACAGCGGGCAGTCAACCTGACCCGGGTGTTGAGTTCCCAGGGTTAAGAGGGACAGAGTAACCCTGAGACATGGATTGACTCTCAGTCACCATCTGCCCCTGCCTGGCTGCCGTGACCATAAGCCAGCCATTCAAGACAGGTGGACCCAGAGGCCGCTCTGGAATTCCCACAAGGAGATCCAGTGGATGATGGAAAAGGAAGCTTGGGAAGGGCCGCAGGGGAGCCAGAGCTGACCACTCTCACCCCTCTCTGCGCTTCCGGAGAGGTCACCTGTCAGCCAGCCTGGGGACAGCACACCCCCACCCCTCTGACCACAAGACCCTCCTGAGCCCACCCTCCTGGCCTGCAGGCTTGGGACTAGAAAAATACCCATGAAGCTAGTGCTTACTGTTTGCAAACCCCATCTCTGCGAACCCCCTTCTCGCTAAAACACATGATACCAAAATCAGTGCCTCCATCCTCCTCCCTGCCACAGCTCACTGCCATTTGCAGGCATGGACAGAGGTCCCCAAACGCACAGACTTCCCCCTGAGGCAAGCAAGACCGTGAAACCTCTCTGTTTCAGCTCCTGGACCATAACCCAGAGCCTCTGTGCGGGCCCTGCACAGACCACTCTTTGGAATACTCATTTCTCTGTGGTGACTTTGCTATTTTGGACGCTCCTTATGCCCAGCACCAGCTGCTGCCCGGTGCACCTGGGTATACGCGCCTCACAGTGGATTCGCGCTGGCCACAGGCTCGCGAGGGCTGCGCTCAGTGCAAAGCGCCCACCGGCACAGAGACAGCTTTGCACGAAGATCACCTCAGCAGCCTCATGCACTGGGCAGTTGACAGCGACTAAGGAAGGGGGCTCCGGGAGCCCGAGCTGCGCTGCAGGCCAGCCTCGGCCCCACGCAGGCAGCTCGGGTCGGGCGGCCCGCAGGTGGCGCTGGCGAGCTGCGGCGGACGGGGCCGGGGCGGGGGCTCGGGAGGCGGGGTCGGCATTGGCGCCCGCCCCTCCCCGCCGCCGACCTGCGCCCGAGTGCGGGAGCCGGAGCCGGAGCTGGAGCCGGAGCCCAGAGCCCAGAACCGAGAGCCCGAGCCGGGCGTCCCGCCCGCGGCACCATGGAGGCGCAGGCCCGAGGTGAGCGCGCGGGCCCGGGCGGTGCCGGGCTTTTTCTGCCAAGGCTAACTTTGCCCTGGACGGGCTTGGGGCGCCCTGGGGAGGGAAGTTGGGGGGACTCTGCAGACTCGGGGTGTGCGTGGTGGGGGACGACGGGCGCCCCGAATCTGTTGTGCAGCCCGGCATCCATCTGGGGTCGGCGCCCTAACGGGGGGTGCTTGGGGCTCGGCCACAGTACCCCCAGCGGAACACAGACTCGCGTGGTCGGGTTCTGAGATCAGCGAGCCCCTCGCGGCCCCCCAAAGGGCGGCTTCGGGTCTCGGGGTCGCACTTGGACCAGGGTTGGGGGAAACTTGGGAACCCTTTAAAACGAGAGGAAATGGACCCCAATTTCCTCTGGGGCGCACATGGAGCGCCGCACAGGTAGGAAGGACCGGGACCCCCCGAGGCCGCCTGGGGAGCAGCACCCCGAAGGAGTGGATTGCGGGGTTCAGCCTTTCGGTCTGGAGCCCACCTTGTTTCACAGGGCTGGAAACGAGTGCTTCAGCGCAAACCCAAACCCTTAACTGAAGGGGGGTGGTCGTGACCCCTTGCGTGCCGCCAGGGCGGGAGCGATGGGGACGCGGGCAGTGGGGTCATCAGCAGGTTTGCTGCCCGGATTAAGTGGCCTGGGCAGCCTGAGCCCAGCTCCCCGCTCCTGGTTCCAGCGGCCAAGATCCTGCCAGAGAGCTGTGCCCAGAACTGGCCCTCCTCATTATGCAAACAGGAAAGGGAGCAGAGGAAGGAAGGCCGGAGAGCCCTGGACATGAGGGAAAGTTCCTCGGCGCTACTTGTGCGAGCTCCTTGAGGGCACTTCATTCCCAACATGGAAAGAGAGGTCCCTGGGGTCGGGGAGGGAAAGAAATGGGGCTCAGTCCAAACCCTACATGAGCAGTGGGAATGGATAGCTGGGGAGCAATGGGGCTTCTGGGGGGGGGGAGAGTCCCAAGGGAAAAGTGGGGGCGGGGGATGAATCCTGGCTCAGCTGGCCCAGCAGGATTCTGGCTGAAACCAGGCTATGGAGATGAGACCCCACAGGAGTGAGGGACGTCCTGGAGGAGGAATCTGAGGTGCTGGTGTTTTGCTAAAACTGGATTTCCTGGAGGAAGTCCACAGATGGGTTTAGGAGAAGGTTCAGAACCTGACTGCGGTTGGCAAAGCACAGAATCTTTGTCTCTGATCAAATGCAGATGCAGAGGTCGGAGCCCCGAAGCACGGGATGGTGCCTCTGAGCTCCACATCTGGACTGCCAGCCTGGAGCCTTGGGGAGTCTAACATGATCTCCCTCAGCCGTGGGGGCCTGGCTCTAGTACCCCGAAGATACCACAGTCATCTAGAAAGCCGTGTGGTCTCTGGAGACCCCTAGGCATCCTTGTGTGCTCTGAGTCATCTCCAGGTGACTTACAATGTTTGCTACAGTACAGAGGCCACGGGGACTTCTGTCTCTGTCCTGTGCTGTGTAGAAAATGCTGACAAAGGAGAAAGCCCTGCACATGTCCAGAGGAAATGTATTTTATTATATTTGTGATCCTTGATTGTAGAGATTGAGGGTGCTGAAACCATGGATGCGGATGCGGTGGATGGGGAGATCCATAGCCCTAAGGATGCTAGGGCTCTGGCCCTGGGAATGAGTGGGCGGGGTCTCTGCCCTGGGCAGAAATGTGCCCGAGGGTGCCAGGCCAGGTGAAGATGTGGTCAGTGAAGCTGAGAATAATTCTGGGAGTGGAAAACACTCTTCCGCATTCTAAAGACCACCAGAAGGGCAGATTGAGAGCCACTGGCCTTTCTGCTTTGCTGAATTTTACTTGCTCTCCTTGTGTGCAAATACTTCTGTGGCTTCCTTGGCCAGGCCCAGTGCTAGACAGAGAAAGAGGAGGCTTGATCTCTGCAGAGTAGACGGGGAGACAGATAGGAATCTGGTAGCTGTTTGGTTAATAAAATGTGATACTGCTCGTGTTCATGGTAGGAAGGAGGAAGGCTGCGAGGGTGCCAAGAGTCCCTAGGCGGTCCCGAGGCGGTCCTGGCGGTCCTCTGAATAACCCATTGCCCCTGTGCTTGTGCCCAAGGACTCATCCTGCGGGCCAGAGGCCCACCAGTGTGCGGGGGCTCCTTAATGTTCTACCAGGAAAACAGGCACCATTTTTCTTGTTTGTGGCCGACTAGACAATGAGTAGTAAAGGCTGAGAGTCCTCATCCCACTCCAAGCCTGTGACTTTCAGGGGAGGGAGAAACGCCAGCCCCAGCGCCCCTCCAAGCTGCCCTTGGCTGTCTGCCTCAGCCACTGACCCTGGACTGCAGTGAGCTAACTCCATCTTCTGGTTCCCCAGAACCTGCCCGAATGGCTGTGGCTGCAGGAGCTGCCCTGGCTGGGCTGCTTGGGGTGGAGCTACCCAGAGGTTTCAATTTTCCTTATTTTGGGGTCACTGCTCTCCCTACCCCTTCGTCCCTTCCCCTCCCTCCTAAATAGACACAATAGCTGTACAGAGACTGCTGCAAACTTATGTGTCTTTTGTGGATCCATTAGCGTGAGTCAGTGTTGAACTGTTAAGATTTTGGACCTCTGCTGTGCTCTGTAATTTTATAAGTCAGGGCTGGAGGAAAAGTTCAAAGGAGGGGTTTACAAACCGTAAGCTGCCTTGGAGCTTTTGCTTGTGTGGACAGATATATAAAAAAAGGAACTTTATGAAAGGGATTGGATGGAGCTTTCGTGGGTAGCGACACTAAGTGAATAGTTGTCTCCTAGACCCTAAGACAGATTCACCTATGATTCCCAAGGTATAGGCGTCTATCTTCAGTATGGTTTATTTTGGAATGATCTGGAGTGGAGTGGCTTATTTCTCTGCCTCTCTTCTCCTCTTGCCTCTTGATCTAGAGGAAAGTCAAGCTCCTTGAGGTCAGGCAGCATCTGCCCACAAGATGTGCCCATCCCCCTGAGGTGGCCTGCAGGTAATTTGTGCAGACGGCTGAGTAAATGCGGCCGCAGCTGCTGGACACTTGCCCTTGAGTAAAAGTCCGGAAACAGAACGTGTTATGCTTCTGTGAAAGAGTAGATTACTTCCAGCAAAATGAGGAAACACTCTAGGGGTTCACTAGGACTGAGGAGGGTCTGGGAGCAGCAAGGGATGGGGAGGACAGGACCGCACAGGAAGACAGCATTCCTGCCTGTTCTCACTGGTGCCCGAGGATCCTCTCTCATGAGATGAGTGTGCTTGGGGCTTCCAAAATGGGCTGAAATCACCCAGGGAGACACTGATGGTCTGCAGTTTGCAATGAGCTACGATTCTTGGTGTCTTAAACACAAGTCTGAGCTGTGACAGTTTCCGTTTAGCATGAGTTTGTTGAGTTACAACCCAGCCTAAATCAAGGGGCATCTTGGGAGAGTTTGGGGAAGAATGGATTCTTTTCCTGAAACATGTGCAGTCCTTTAAAATGGCATCATCTGCTCTATTTAAATTATCCTTTAATATCTTATTATTCTAAATGGAAAGGACATTTTTGTTTTTGTTTTTTGCCTTTCACAAAACCTTTAATGTCAAAAAGAAAGCTTTCTCTTCCTTGAAGCCTTGTAAATATTCAACTTAGCAGCCAATATTCACATTCCTGTGGCTGCTGTTACAAATTACACAGACTTAGTGGCTAAAAAAACAACAGAAAGGTATCTGGCCCTTCCGGACGTCGGAAGTCCGAAGTCACTGTTGCTGGGCTGCTGTTGTGGGCCAGCCTCTGTCAAAGCTGCCAGGATACAGCTGCCCCATCCAGTCTGCTCGCCTGTCCCCAGCAGTTGCCAGGTTGCTGTCCCTGCCTGTGGCCGCTTCTCTTCTCTGTCTACTGCAAGCCACCCCCTTCCTGTCTCGAGAGAATCCTTGTAATGGCCTTAATCATGGGGAACCGTTTCCCCACACCCAGACCCTTCATGAGTCCTCTGTGTGAAGGGCACTTTCCACCTGAACTCACGTTTACAGGCCCAAGAGCCTGGGACCCGCTGTCTAGGGTGAGACATTATCCGGCCTACTGTAAACACTATTGTTTCTATTCAGATATCTTACTTAACAGAATTCTTAAAAGTTCGTGAATGACACAGTGTCATAAACACTGGATTGTTCCTGCCTGCTTGCTAATCCCATCAAAGTGAAAATGTCATATCGCTTCATTTTGTTCTTTGCTCACAGAGCAGTTATTTACTTTTGCTCCAGACAGGACTTAGAGCAAGACTTGCAAATCTATAAAGCATGAGAAGTTAATGTGAATTGAAATAAGTGAGAGAAGGTAAACACCAGGAAGTGCAGCGAGGGGTGGTTAACTGGAAAGGTGCATGCAATTCTATCATTTAGTGGATGTTGCATAGAAAGCAAATCCTTGCTTTCTGAACAAAGGATGGGATTTCATTGCAAAACAGTGAGCTGCTGCCCCTCCCTCTTCTTTTCTATTCTCATATTATGGGATTCAAATTACCCAAGGAAAAATTTTATTTTGGATTTTATATTGCATTTCAGGCAATATAAGCATAAGCCTCAAATGATGAGAGGCAGCCTTGATGCATTTCAATTTGTGCTTTCTTTCAGAGCATTAGGCTATTCAGGTTGTCTTCAAAGCTACCTATTGTAGTTCTGTCTTCCCTGGACAGAAGCATTTTAAAGTAAGTGATGAGATATTTGCTAGGTGAAGTCAGTCATGTGCAGCAAATCTTGAGCCAGTATTAGAATTCAACTCTTCATAAACTCTAATCATACCGTGATGGATGGCAGTAGTATTTTGAGACTCCTTGTAAAGTGCTTCTCCTCACGTACACCTTGTTTGGTTACTAAACAGGCAATCTCTGAAAAGTTTCTTCAAAATCAAATTTATAATCTAAACAATCCGCTTTTGTGATCATTGGTAAGATTTTCTACTTAGTAAGATATGGGAAATAATCACTATCACAGCAAATATGGATGTGTTCAAATGAGTGTTTCAGCAAATCCTTAGCGATGGGCAGATTTGCA